CAGATCAGGTCAGGTTACAGTACGCATGGGATTACCTTTGGGTCAAGTCTGGGGCAAACCAGGCTGGGCCAGTTCATGTCACCCACTAGCAAATTCAAGCGCCAGAATGGTGTGGGGTCATGCCAGGTCGGGCCACAATACTAGCCAGTTCACACTAGAGCCGGGACTGGGGGTTGGCTAGGCTGACTAGGCTATAGTCCCCACCAGCGTGAGCTGAAATCAGGGGCAGGCTAGGCCTAGCCAGGCTACAGTACACACTGGCAAATGCTGAGGTGAGGTGGGCCATACCGGACTGGGCTACAGCACCCAACCAGCACATGTGAGACCAGAAAGAGTGGGCAAAACTTAAAGGGGGCTGCAGGGAGACCCCCAATTGGGCCACCCCTCCCACTGGTGAGCAGGAGAGCTGGGATTGGGGGTAGACCAGGCAGGACAGAGCTACAAAACCTGGTGACCTGCAGGTAAGCTGACAAGGCAGGCTGGGAAGACTGTACCTACTAGTACATGCATAAGCCAGAGGGGATGAGGGTTGGTTGGGCTTTGCCACACCACCAGCTATCAAATGCTGACACAGGGGGAAAACTGTCGAGCTAAACTGCAGAATCATCTGAAGAGTGCAAGATCCTGGAGTGAGAGTGGACCCAGTAGAGAACAGTGGGCACCTCCCTCTTGGGTTGCCACTCCGATCGGTGAGAATGAGAACCAGGACTGGGACAGGCATGGCTAGATAGAGTGGCACTTGCCAGCACATGTGTGGTCTGGATAGTGGGGTTGGTTGAGCTGAACTAGGCTTCAATGCCCATTGACACGTATGAGAGCTAAATGGGATGTAGGACAGATTGGACCAATCTGCTGTACATAGTGGCAAACACATGAACCAGGGCAGGAGGCTGGCCTGGTGTGAGTTACTGCGGGACAATCCAATTAGCCTACAACTCCCACTGGTGTGGGTGGGGGCCCAGTGTGCAGAGAGCAGGATCAGGCTGCACTGCAACACTCATTAGTTTGCGTAGAAGACAGGGCTGGAGATAACTGACCCAGCAATAGCAACTAATAGCTACCATACAGAAATCAGAACATTAAATGCTGGCAAGGGTGTGGGTGGAAATGTACCCTAATCTGCTGATGGAAATGTGAACCAGTGCAACCATTATGGAAAACAGTATAATATTCCTCAGATATCTGAAAACAGATCCAGCCATCCCACTCCCAGGAATTTACCAAAATGAAATTAAATCAGTATATGAGAGTTATCTCTACCATGTTTACAGCAGCTGAATTCAGACAAGCTAAGATATAGAACAAACCCAGATGCCCATCAACTGATGATGGTATACGTATACACAATGGCATACCATCCGACCATAAAAAAGAATGAAATCTTATCCCTGCAACAAAATGAATGCAACTGAAAACCATTATGATTAGTGAAAAATGTCAATCCCAAAAAGACAAATACCATGTTTTCCCTGATAAGTGATAATATATGGCGTACAAAAAAAGATCGTTATGAGAGAAATTAACATCCTGAGATCTAACAATTGCTTCCAACCTTCGTTTGCATGTTTGAGGAATAATAGGACTTTTCCTTATACTTGTTATGTGTTAAGATTGTGAAGTAAAATGGAAAATCTTTTTTTATAAAATTAGGAAAAAGTAGTGGGGGTAAATAAGGAGGTGAAGGAGCATGAGAGGGGTCACTAGGCTTCTAAATTTGTATCACGGAATACATCAAATTTATTCACTTTACATAAATTAATAAAATTATCTTTTAAAATAAGCATTAAATCCATATGGTCAACAGACACATGACGAAATGCTCAGGATCGTTGCACATCAGAGAAAAGGAAAAAAACAACATTATGAAGTTTCACCACCTCACCTTTTCCAAAAACCAAAACTAACAAATAGCAAGACTGAATCACAAAAGGCTAAAAATCAGTAGTAAGACTGCATCAGCAATAATTCCTAAATGTTATGGCATAGGCATAGTAACTCAATTTTTTTAATGAAGGTAAATATAGACTTTTTCAGAAATCTTTGATTTCTGAGAGTATTCATGGTCAATAGACTGGCAAGAAATGCTGATGGATATTGTTCCAGCAGAAGGGAAAAGTTTATGCCAGATGAAAACTTGGATCTACATAAAAGAATAAAATGTACCAACAGTGGTAAAACGTGTGTAGATGAAAAGATAAAATGTAAAAATGATGCACAGCAAAGTATAAATGTACTTTGGGCACCATACTATATTTAAAACTAAGATCAATGACAATAAGAACACAAAGGAAGGGAAAGTAAAATGGAAGTATTTCGACTCTGCTTAATTTGTAGATGGCACATGATAATTGTACATATTTACACAGTGTTATAATTTCACACATAGATACAATGTATAATTATCAAATAAGAATCAGCATTTACATTCAGTGCAAATACATTGCCATTAGAATCTTGCCATGTATGTAATTTGGTGTGATTTTATATAAAGATCTATATGTTAAAGATAAACATTTTAAATCTTCAAAAATCTTGAAGCAACCACTAAAAAAGTAAAGATAACAATCCATTACTGAAGATAAAATATAAGTCTAATACATCATGTGAGTGCAAGAAGGCAGGAGGCCCAGTACAACAGCCTAGTGGGTAAATACTCGCCTTGTATGCACAGGGATCTCATATGGGAGGCAAGGGAAATGGAAGACAAATTAGAAGATAATATATTTGAACATTATATTCATAAATGCTCTAAGTATAAAAGATCTAAACAGTCCAATTAAAAAGGGATTGAGGCAGGAATTTGGCCCATTAAGACACTTATATTTTAGTGCCTAGATTTGAACCCATCCCTGGGTCTAATTCCCATTTCCTGCTAATGCAGACCATGGGAGATAGTAGCCACAACTCAAGGAATCAGATTCCTTCCATCCATGTGAGCAATCCAATTTGTGTTCTCAGCTCCTGACTGCAGTCCCGGGTCAGCCCTGTACTGGCTGTTGGCACAAGCCAATGGTCTGAAGCTTTCTAGTCTTGTCACTTATTCTCATAAATAAAATTAACCAGTTAAATTAAAAAGTAAATAACACTATCACATGATATCTTCTTTAAAAGGCAAACAGCATTACAAAGTAAGTCCTAAAATGTTCAAAAGCAACAACATCATGAAAGTCAAGAACATAATAAAAGTTCCAGTTTGAACTACGACTAAACAAACAGAACAACCAAAAGAAGCCTATGATTTGAAGTGGACTCTTGCTATGCAGAACATATTGGAGACGACAGGCAAAATGTGAAGTGGGAATAAGGATTAGATGCTAGTCATGTTTCAAGCTAGTTCGCACTCTTACTTTATGGTTGCACAGAATAATGCCTCTAAAGTATTTGGAGATGATGGCACATCAGGCTAGCAGCTTGATTTCAACTAGTTCATGAAAGAAATGCAATTAGTTATACTAAATTTTCTAAATCCAAAAGCAAATTGGTTACATCAAAAATAAAATAATTATACAACCAAAAATACAAATGGTACAAAACAGATAAGCCAGGCATTGGAAGAATGCATTGCAGAACATAACAAGAAACACCATCCAAAGGACATGATAAATTTCCATTAATGTAAAGGAAAACAGATCCCCTTCTCATATGCAGATTTCACTTCTATTGGGTATATTCCTAGGAGTGGGACAGCTGGGTCCTATGGCAGGTTTATTTGTAATTTTCCAAGCACTCTCCATACTGATTCCCACAGTGGTTGTACTAGCCTACACTCCCACCAGCAGTGAAGGAGGGTGCCTTTCTTCCCACATCCATGCCAGCAGGTGTTAGTTGAGTTCTGAATGTAGGCCAGGCTCACTGGAGTTAGGTGGTACCTCAACGTGGTTTTCATTTGGATCTCTTATGGCTAGGGAGCCTGAGCACCTTTTCATTTGTCTGTTAGCCATTTGAATCCGTTCTTTTGAAAAATGTCTGTTCATTTCTGTTGCCCATTTTGTTACAGGGTTGGGGTTTGTTTTTTTGGGTTTTGTTTTTTTTTCTGTCCCTGGGTTTCTGAAGCTCTTTGTAAATCCTGGATATTAGTCCCCTATCACTTGTGTAGTGTGCAAAAATTTTCTACCATTCCATTGGTTGCTTCTTCACTGGGGGGAATGGTAGAAAATAGAGAATGAGGAAAGATACCAGTCCCAATCAGAAACTACATTATCAAATTCTCATGTGATCCATGCCATGGCCACTCTTGAAGTGCACCACGCTGCAAAAGTTTTTCATGTGAGTTCAAATAAACAAAGATTGAACTTAACTATTATGCGCTTTACCAAACAACTGAAAACATGCCAAAGGCCCCAAAAATATCAGGATAGTTACCTGTCAAGGACACTCCCCACATCTCAGTAACTCAAAGATTTAAAGCCTACTCAGTTTATACTAATCATAAAATTAATATCAAGAGAAGCTCTGCTCAATGAAGTCACTTAGCGACTCAATATCTTGAAAGTTATTTTTCTCACATTCAAGAGAAAATAAGAACTTTGAGGTAATTTAATCTGACATTAAATGATAAGCCCCAAACGAACAATATCATTAATGTTCACATTTTATGAACCAGAAACAGTCACATGACCCACCCATAAACAACGAGTCTGAAAAAGACTGAGCTAGAAACACCAGTGAACAACACTTAGATCAATACTGGAACTGGAAGGGGAAATGTGGATTATCCAGACAATGAATTACAATGTCTAGAATGAATATATATAAAGAAAATAAGCTCTCCACTAGTAGATATCCATAAAAGAAATATGTTGTGTTTGCTTTGGTCAAGATCTGCTAACAAACTGTATTATCATTCATAAAACACAATATATGACCAATAGTATATGTAAATAAATCTATGATGAATCAACAGATGTACAGCAAAAAGTTAAACTAAATGTGGACTTCAAAAGCATTCTAACAATAGAAATGTTCAGATAATAAAAGTTTATGGCATAAAAATATCTTACCTTTTGGTTTTCATCTGGTCCCTCAGTTTACTGTACATCTCTAGGACTTGAAAGAGAAAAAATAGCACACAAATATTATTTAGAGAAAGTGAAAGAATTGATTAAAGCTAAATGAACTGTATCAAAAATCCTACTCCATTTCTAGTTTCTTACCTGGAAGACACAGCATTAATTTATCAACAGTGGCAGAAATATTTCTCTGTTGTAGCCGACACTGCTTCAGCTCTTCCATTGCTATTACCAGCTTGGCAGGAGGGAAAAGAAACTGAATTATGCCAACAGCTGTAAATAAAAAGCTTTCAGTCACATTTTTCCACACTGTGTTCAATTCATCAGAAAATCCCAGACAGTTTCATAGTAAGACCTGCCAAGTGGACTAAGGAACTGCCTTTTCCAACCAGTAAAACATTCCTACCGTTTCCTACTTTCTCCCCAAGAAACATACTGTGCTCGAAATGGCTAGGTAAGATGGAATCCTAAAATACAGAGGCTATCCAGGAGAAAATAAAATTTTTTACATATTTTCTCCAAACTCTACTCAGACTCTTTGCTTTATGATCTCATCAATCCTCAGATCCTGCATTTCTTTCATTTGTGCTAAACTAGAGGAAAACAGTCCTTCTTCAACTTCATCTGAGTCTTGAAAATCATCATCAATTAAGATTCAATTTCAACAAATAAACCACACACTTTGAAGTGTGACTTAACAGTTCAGGATAAGTTATTTCACAAAATAACTAGAACTATATTCTCTGTAGATTTTATAATGTGTGAAACATTTTTTAAAAATCACTTATCTACATATCCACTTGAAGGATTCATTCTGTACACATATCAAATAATGTCATCTGCTTAGATATGTCAAAAAGGAGAAGGATCCTGATCAAGTCACTGAGAAGTCAGAGGGTGATCTTAAAAGACTATTTAAGGGGCATGATACAGAGAAAAGGTACAGTCTATGATTTAGGAAACTGGTTTTAGTGTCAGTCTCGTCAGTGACTATGGAAACTTCAACAAATCATCTGTTCTGGTTTCCTCATCCATGAATGAGCAGTAATATCTGTCCTTGACTTTTCAAACAGTTAGCCAGAGTTCAAGTGATGAGTGAATGTAAAATAACGTAGCAAACTGAGAAGGCTTAAAGGGTGAGTCAATAAAGGAATCACTAGTTTATTTTTAAAGCAAATATTCATTGAGCAACCATCCCATACCGGTCATTGTTTAGGTAGGTGAAGAAAATAAATAAATAAAACCAAAATTTACGATCTCATGGAGCTTCATTTCTAATGAAAGCAAACTGGAAAACATATATATATATAAGTACAAATATAAAATATCAGGGCGTGATAGGTTCAGTGGAGGAAACGAGAAACAGTAACAATGCAGGTGATGTGGAATGCCAAGGTGAGGTTGCCTGTGCCAGATGTGACCGCAGCACCCAACTAGCACACGTGAGAATCAGGAAGGGAACGGGCAGAACCAGCAGCGGAATAAGGGGTGGTTCCCTTGCTGGACAACTACTCCCACTGCAGAGCGTGAGCTGGGATGGGGACAGATCAGACTAGGCAGGCCTACAACACCTGTATGCCTCATGTGGACCAGATCAGGGAAAAACCAGGCTGGGCTGATTATTCCTACTGGTGCAATCTACAATTAGAGTGAGTGAGGATTATTTGGGCTTAGCTACAGCATCAGCTGGCAGAAGCTGGCACTGGGGGCTAGTTCTGTCAAGTTAAACCACAGAATCACCTGGAGAGTGCATAATCCAGGAGTCGGAATGGCCTGGGAGGGAAATAGTAGGCTCCACCTTCTTGGGTTACCACCCCCCACGGAGGGCATGAAAACCAGGACAGGGGCTGGGGTGGCTTGAGAGACAGCCAACAACATCCGTGAAGGCTGTAGAGTTGAGCTAATTAGATGGAACAAGGTTTCAACATCCACTGACATGTATGAAAGCAGAAGGGGATGTGGGACAGACTGGACTAGTCTGCCACACATACTGGCAAACCAGGGCAGGGGGCGAGCCTGGTGGGGGTTATCGTGGGTCGCTCCGACTAAGCTGCAGCCCACATTGGTTTGTGTGAGGGCTTTGTATGTGCTGGGCAGAACCAGTCTGGACTGAGGCACCCACTGGTTCCAGTGGAAGACAGGGATAGAAACAGAACCAACCCAGTAATTGCAACTCACCAGCTGATTGGGGCAGCGGACTGTGCCGGGCCCTATGCTTGCTAGTACATACAAGAATCTGGTCTGGGAACACCTCAGACAAAGTTTCTTTGGGGATCCCCCAATCGAGCTTCCAGACTCAGAACCCTAACCATGAAAAGAGGACAGAACAGTTCAACCAACAACCTCAGCTATATGTTGGCAGTGAAAAACTGGGCAAACGGAGACTCTATGATGGACTATGTCAATCAGTGGATTCTTCAACAACCTCAGCGTGCTTGGAGTGGTGAGAGTGGCAGCAATTCAGAACTGTTGAACTATCAAAACCACTTAAGCAAGACCCTCAGAGCATGCCCCACATTGCAGACCTGGGGTGGGTCGGAGATTGGGTGGGGCTTCTCCCTTAAAATCCCCTTTTACATCAGATATGTTAAGGAAACAATACGGAACTAACTGTCTTACCCATCTTCCTGTAGTGCTTGAACCTTTTTACCCTAATTACGTCAAGATTGTCAAAAAAAAAATTTTTTTTTAAAAACTGCTAATAAGAAAAAAAAAAAAAAAAGCTAATGCAGGCGATGAGGATGAGATGGTGACTAAATAAGACGATTATGAAAGCTCCTCCAAAAAAGATCATCGAAGCGAAGATTTGAAGCAGGAGAACATTGGGGAAGGGGCATTCCAGCTAGAGAGAACAGCACTGGCAATGGCAGCTGCACGGCGATCGTAAAGCACAGCTAAGGAGCGCTGCATCCTCTCCCATCACACATCCAGTGGTTTTAGTCAGGCACTTCAAATAAACATGAGAAGGAGCAACCATAATCTCCAAATTCTTTCGACATACTGCTTAATCTTACAAGCCACTAAATAAAGAACACAGACATCAAAAGAAACAAAAGGAATTTTCAAAACGTAAATTGGCCTTACTTCCTTTCCCTCATGTTGAAGTTTTCTATTAGTATCCGTCACTTGATTCTGTAGAGGAAAGAAAATTTAAATTCATTTTAAAAATCATATATTTAGACAACAGTTGAATAATATCAAAATGGAACGTGAAGATAGTAGGATTAGCTGTTTTCAGCATCCCACCACATACTGGCCCAATGGAACTTAAGTCCTATCAACTTCACGAATGCTAGAATGAGTAACCTTTCGAAAATGGAAAAGAAACACTTCTAAAAGGCATAGTTGATTTGTGATATGCCAAGCTAATAACACTAAAACAACTAAATATTACATGTTTCCTTTGAAGAGAAAAAGCAGTTGGGCCCAGCACGATAGCATAGTGGTTAAGGTCCTTGCCTTGCACATGCCGGGATCCCATATTGTTGCTGGTTCTAATCCCAGCAGCCCTGATTCCCATCCAGCTCCCTGCCTGTGGCCTAGGAAAGCAGTCGAGAACAGCCCAAAGCCTTGGGACTCTGCACCTGTGTGGAGAACTGGAAGAGCTCCTAACTCCTGGAGCTCAGCTCCAGCCATTGAAGTCACTTGGGGAGTGAACCACCAAAAAATCAGTGGAGGGAAAATAATGCACAGGGAGTCTTATCTTCTTCACAGTGTCTAGAAAGAACAAATTCATCAGGAAGTTCTTACTTCATAAATGATTCCTGCAGAAGCTGGGTGCAAGTTTAACTTCTTAACTCAAAAAGTTTCCCTGTTTCTCCTAATTTAGCAAATGTTGTATGTTAATTCTTCTTAGAGCATTACTTCTTAACAGTTCTTAACACTCCATATTCCCAATTTCTAACCTAGTCTTTCCAACAGGGAGCAAAAAATATGTGAATAAGCTTTAAAATGATCCATAGTTCGTCACTAACATGAACAAGAACATAGCTTTTTCTCATACCCATTTTTGATGCTTCCATTGATGAAAAATGAGTACACAGAATAATTTCCTCCTCTCAGATATCAAAAAATGAGCAATATTAACTTCCAAAACATTGACACTTTCTAGCCTTCCACTGCATCTGACCACCTCATACTTTCAATATATCCCTTATCCCAGTATTTCTTATGGTGTTGCTTGGAATATGAAGAAACTTTATGGAATGTTAGTAACAGGAACACACACACAGACTCATACACAATATGACATGCAAAGCAATGCTCAAAACAGTGATACCATACAAAATACATTCTAGACTTAGTTAATGTAAGTTTTTATTAGAGGTCATCCCAAGAAATTAGGTTTCCAGAAAATACACTTTTTAAAAGTCCTATATGTTGAGCCCAGCACGGTAGCCTAGTGGCTCAAGTCCTTGCCTCGCACGCACTGGGATCCCATATGGGTGCCAGTTCATGTCCTGGCTGTTCCACTTGCTATCCAGCTCCCTGCTTGTGGCCTGGGCAAGCAGCGGAGGACAGCCCAAAGCCTTGGAACCCTACACCCACTTGGGAGACCCAAAAGAGGCTCCAGGTTCCTGGCTTCAGTTCGGCACAGCTCTACCCACTGTGGTCAATTGGGGAGTGAATCAGTGGACAGAAGATCTTTCTCTTTGTCTCTCTTCTCTATATATCTCATTTTCAGATAAAAATAAATCTTTTTTAAAAAGTGCTGTATGTTGTACCTGCGCTATCATAACTACATGTATTGCTGTTTTCAAACACAAAAAGAAATCCAACCGTTTCTATAAAACCTTTATAAACAACCAGAAAGGTAAGAAACTCAATTTCCTCTTTATTGCTTACCTAATACTTATCCTTAATTTAGCATTTGCTTTTGATTTTTGATTTGTAGAAATTTTTTTTCATTTTAATGTATCACAGCTATCCATTTTTTCCTTTCTAGCTTAGAAATCTATATACAAATATAATCCCCTCTCCTAAAATCATATGTTCACCTAGATCTTTTGCAATTCTATGGTTTGCTTTAAATTATTAACTTCTTCCGATATTAAGACTGAAATGTTGAATGAGGAGGGGACCCTACTTTAACTCTTAAAAGCTAAACATGAAATAACTTGAACAGCAGATCAAATTGTCATATTTATAGTGGAGGAGGTAAATAAGGCACAGAAGATGTCACCATGCTGGTAATACTGATTCCTAGAGATGCTCGTGCACAACTGTACAGGCCTTAAGTCCTTGAAATCCTGGGACACAGTGTGCTTCGGACTTCAAAATTTGAGATTTTATGAAGATAATGAAGTGAACATTATATGTTACATAACACATCCCCCAATGAGAACTAGGTCAGCATCCCACAGCACAATCAAATATGATAGTAGTGCTGTAGCAAAACACAAAAATTAATAACAGATAAAATATATTTAAATTAAATAAAAATAATTAAATAATTATATTAGTTAAAATAAGACAGTTTTGTCATTTCATGTCCAGTTAGGTCATTTTTACAATCAACTGAGTTTTTAAACTAACGTAGTTTTAAAATATAACTTAACATCTTATAATCCACTACAACCCTCAATAGAACCACATCTTCACTATTCCATGAGTTTTATACTATCAAGTTAGCCCTATGCCCCAGGAAAACAAAACAAATAAAAAATCCAAAGCACAAAAACAGGAAGAGAGTAAAATGGCTATTACTTACAGATCATTTAAGAAATATTTACACATAAAACTCAAAAAAATCTACATATAAATTATTAGAAATAGGTGAGTTTAGTGAAGTAACTCAATTTAAGATTAATAAGCAAAATAACTCGTCAAAGATTCAATGAATCTTTGCCAGGGACCAGATCAATGTGACTGACAAGCATCCATCTAAGCTGAATGTATCCGTCAGCAACTTTCTGCATTAGTAGAAGACTCCCTACGACCCTTAACTGCATTGGTTTGGTTTGGTTTATTTCTTTTCCTACGTGCCTACACTGCAAAGAGCCCTACAACAATGTCCTGGAATTCTACCATCTTATAATGCCATATTTTATCCAGCAAGGAAGCAAATTACATGAAGAGTCCAAAAAGATAATTCCTAATCACTGAATCTGATCCACATCTAAATATCTTACTTGAAATCTAACTGAGGTGGGTGATTTTGCTTTTTAGCTAAAATCCTATAATCTCAATTATCTAGGTTTCAATATAAATTTCCTTCTTACTACACAAAAATCTTTACTACAATACACAACCAGCAATGCGATCCCTATTTCTGTCCTGCTAATCAAAACCCCAGTATGGAACAAGGGAAATGTGTCTCTTACTTTGAGTTTCTGGGCTTCTCCTCTCACTTTGAGGAGTTCAGTTATAGAGTCCACAAAGCCCTGGTAATGAAAGTTGCACATCTTCTCAATTTCTCGGTCATGGTTGCGGATGCGAGTCTCGAGCTTCTCCATGAATCGTCCATGTTCCTCACCATCATAGACAGACCTTAAAAAAAAAAAAAAGGCAAGAAGATCACACCACATTTCCTTCTAAAAACAATAAGAAGATTTACAAACACAGAAGCAAATATTTTTGGCAAATATATCCGGTATGTGAACCACAAAGTAATCCAATTTTATTCTCTCTGTCTCCCTATCTAGATTTCAATATATATAGTATATACATATCAATACACACATATATACACACATACTACATATGTTCCTTTTAAGATTTATTTGTTCATTTATTTGAAGGGAAGAGCAACAGAGAAAGATTTTCCTTCATCTAGTTCACTACCCCAAACACCCACAACAGTCAGGGCTGGGGCAGACCAAAGCTAGGAGCCAAGAACTCCATCTGAGATTCCAACATGGGTGAAGGGGCCCAAGTACCATCAACCACTACTTCCCAGGCACATTAGCAAGGTGCTGAATTGGAAGTAGAGTTCCAGCAATCCCATATGGGATACCAGTATCACAAGTGGGGATTTGACCTGCTGTGCCACAATAAAGGCTTCAGGTACTCAGTACCATTTCAACTACCAGTTGAATATCCCTTACATGAAATGTTTGGGATTTCATGCTTTTCAGGATTATAGAATGTATGTATATACAAAATGAGCATCTTGAGAATGTGAACTAAACATGAAAATCACTTAAACCTCACATATACACATTCATACATGTAACCTGACAGCAGTTTATTTAATATTTTTAGTGCTTCTCCATCTGACTATGATCTATGTCATAAAAGGTCAGATGTGGAATTTTCCACCTGCAGAACCATATCAGCACTCAAAGAGATTCTGATTTGGGACCATTTTGGATTCTTGAATCAGGGATCCCAACTAAATAATAATATTCATCATCATCATCACTTTGTGTTCTCCAAAATACCTAAATGTGGAAGTTTACCTTCTCCTTCAAAATGTTTACTACAACCTCATTTCAAGCTGAAGCAGACACAGAGCTATCTCCACTCCCCTTTCTAAAATCATCCAGATTACCCAATCTGATATCTGTTGCTTCTATTCTGAAGATGTGCTCCAAGTTGTGTTACACTGCCACTCTAGAACACTATGGGACAAGAAGAGGCAATCAGCAAAACATCCACTGAGAAAGAATGACACTGTTTCCAAGACCCCCTGGCAATCTTTCGTGTCTCACAGCATCACTACTGTGCAATTCACTTAACTCTCCTTTGCATGATGTATTTTTCTCTCCATCAGATCTTTCTATGCATGTGCAAACATGAGTCCTCAAAACCTGTCTTGAACTGTGCTTCAGTGTCCAGCAACCACATCATTTCTATGCTCCCCTTCCTAGCAAAAACTCCTTTCAGCTTTCTGACCACTTCAATTCCTTTGATTAGCAGAGTAAGTATTCATCTTACTCCACCTAACAACTACACTTTCTATGGCTTGATATCCTCGCCTTCTTTAAACTCTCTTTTACTGAGAATTTCAACAATTCCACACTAACTTAGTTTCTAACCTTGCACTAGCATGTCTTCTCAATCTCCTTCCCCAGCTGCTCCTCTATTACATTTTTTTAATATTCTTTGAACTTCCTTATCTGTGCTTGGTTACCAAGTGATATCATCTAAATTCATGGCTTTAAATATTGCCCACAATCTATGAACTTCTGGGAACACCAGATTCAAATGTCTATTCAACAACACCAACTGGATTCTTAAAAAGCCATCTAAAATTCAACAAAGGAAAAAATCATTTATTAGCAACTTATATATATTCCCAAAGCTGTTCTTGTCCAAATTTCCCAAACACCCATCAATCCCATCATAGTTTATGGGACTATTCAGTTACCCCAGCCAAAAATTCAGAAATTCTAATCTATCTCTTCTGTTCAAATAATTACTGAAATTTCAACCCTCCAAAACCTGCTTTAAAATTAACCACACTCCATCTTTTTCACTAAAACCCTAGTCCAAATCTTACCATCATGACACTGCAACAGCCTCCCAAGTCTCCTTTCTGCATTTCCCATTTCCTTCATCCTCTACCCCAATACACTTAACACAGCAACTAAAATAATGTTTTTATAGCAATAATGCAGATGTTATGCTCCAGCTTACACCTCTTAAGACTTCATTTAACAACAAAAAAAATTAAAATCTTGACTCTTGGAGAGGGAAAAGATGGCCGACCACAGAAAACTGGTGTAGCTGAGTCTGCAGAGGGATAGGGACAAGATTCAATGGAGCAGAGAGCAAGAACAAGAGAATCGTGTGAAAAGTGTCCAAAACTCCCTGGAGACAGCGGAACCAAGACAGGTCCCACAAGGCAAGGGAAAGCCACTGTAAAACCCTCAAGTCTGTAATCTGCAGCCTAAGCAGGTTAAGGCGGACACCATTCAGGACAAACAGGGGCCTTGGTCAAAGGCTGGTGAGTCATGAATTGACACAGGGAGAATCCCAGTGGGAGTCGTTGCCTGCCCATAGGAGACAGAGGGAGGCAGAAGGACCCTTAGGACAGAAAATCAGTGAAAGAAGTCCACCCTGAGGAGAAAACTATAGGCATGGTCCCAGGCAGCCCCTGCTGGAGGAGGGGACATCAATGGGGAAAGGGTAACCAGGGAGTAATTTGTACGAGTTGGAGGCACGCAGGGCAAGGTCTGAACCCACTCACTCCCGAAGGCTCTGAAGCCTGAGCCCCACAAAGGACACCAGAATCACCTGAAATAGAGATGTGGAGTCCATCGGGAGCAGTTCTTCACTCGATCGCTGAGCGGCATGGGTACAGATGCCAGAAGAACAGAGCAGAGGCCACAGGGGAGCCCAGGGGCAGGAGTGCAAATACTGGGAGTGAACAGGGGAACATACTCCAGCCACCAACTTGCCCATCAAGGACAAGGGAAGGCACGTTGTCACCAGAGCTGGAAAGTGTGCCTGCTGGTTGTGCACTGTACAACAGCAGCTGGACACACTTGCACTGGGTGCCCATCTAGCCAGTGGAGGCCGCAAAGGTGTCAAACATTGAAGGCGCTTGCACACAGAACAGCAGCAGGATCGTACTCATCCTGAATAACAGTCCTGCAGTCAGAGATTGTGTGAAACTCCAAGATTTAGTTGCCAACTAGCTGGACACGTATCTGCCTGAGAGCAGCAGGTCAGAGAAACCTCTCCCCTACCCCCAACCAGGGACATAGTGAGCTTCCTTGTGAATCACCAGCCTTACAGAATACAGACAGGTGTATCGGGAAAAGCCAGCAAACCATCAGAGATAGGCGGCGTGCAATTTGACAGCCATAAGAAAGCCCATAGAGATCATGGGGGGGGGGGGAAAATGGAAAAATAGGGAAGATCTCAGATGAGGGGGCCAGTGCTTCCCTCAAAAATGAACAAAAAGTCATTTCAATCCTAGAGCTACAGAGTAAAGATACTGAGGAGCTCCCAGACAGGGAATACAAAAAACATCATGAAACTTTTCAGAGACAACGAAAAGCATTCAGAAAAACTCAAGAAATTCAAGAATAACGTCCTCACAGACATAAAACAGGCTCAACAGCCATAGTGTATGCAATAGGGAAATCCAAAGAAAGACAACACTGAGGTTCCATTTGACTCCATTAAGAATGGCCCACAAACAGAGAACTACCAATAACAAATGCTGTCAAGTTTGCAGGGGGAAAAGGAACCCTACACTACTGCTGGTGGGATTGCAAGCTGGTGCAACCACTATGGAAGTCAGTATTGAGAATACTTAAGCAACTGAAAGTCTACCTACCATATGACTCAGCAATAATACCACTTCCGGGACCATATCCAAAAGACTTTTTACGTAAGAAAGCAGTATGTGTCCCTATGTTCATTGAAACACAATCAATAACCACAAAAACATGGAAGCGACCTAAATGCCTATCAACAGAGGACTGGATAAAGAAACTGTGGTTCATCTACTCCATGGAATAGTACTCACCTATTTTAAAAAATGAAATACAGTTGTGTATAGCTGAATGGGTCAAACTGGAGACCATTATGCTAAGGGAAATGAGCTAAGAGATATGTCAAACCAATTGTAAACAAGCTCTGCTTTGATAGGTGGGACAGCTGCAGAATAAGCATTTGTCTGAGAAATCTATTTAGAATACAAAAAGCAGCACATACCACTGACATTGAGACTGGGGTGGGGGGGGAAGGTTTCCAAGATAATCATATTCCTTGCCACTTCCAGAATGGAATTAATCACTGAAAACTTTTCCAACCTAAGTAGCACAGCCATATTATCAAATATTCAACAAACTCTTGGTTCAAAACTTTGGACATCTTGACTCAGCCAACACGTGCTTGCAAGTACATTTCATTTCATTAGATAAGACTTCATATTTTTCCTCCAAAGATCCACAGTACTACCACAAAAGATAATCTAGAAAATAAGAAAATCTTAAAGGCAAAAAATTTAGAACTTATTTTAGTCATGCCTCCTCTAAACCACCTGAAGTTCCACTTAAAAATAAATTAGGATGACTGGAGGGGAGAACGAAGGGGAGGGAGGAAACTTTTGGGAGGGGGAAAGGAGAGCCCAGCACCAACTAAATTGTATCAAAAAAACAATTTTTAAAAATGTAAAAGAAAAAAAAGAAATTAGGATGGCATTTGGCCTCCTGATTAAAGTGTAGATTAGGGAAACGTATGATGTTCCATCTTTCATTTCATGTCAGAGTGCTTGGTTCCAATTTCTCTTCCAGATTCCTACTAATACAAACCCTGGGAGGCAGCAGTGATGACTCAAGCAGCTGGGTGGGAGAACTGCGCTGAATTTGGAAATCCCAGCTTCAGCTGCAGAACCAGTTCAGCCATTATGGCCATTTGGGGAGCAACCAGTGGGTGAGAGTATATCATGTCTCTCTCCACCTGTGTCTCCCTACCTCTCAAAAAAAACAAAATAGGAGGAAGAAAAGGAGGAGGAGAAAAAAAAAGGGCCAACATTATGGTGCAGCAAGTTAAGCCTCTGCCTGAAACATCTCACATCAGATATCAGTTCA